AAAAAAAGACACCTGCGCCGACTAGATCTACAACGCCATAAAGACCGGTTACCGCCTGTTCGATGGTGCTTGTGGTAAAGAGAGAAATCCCACTACACTCCCTTTTCTACTCTTCTTTTCAATTCTGGCCCGATCGCTAAAGCCCCTAAAAGCCCCTGTGCCTATCAATATGAGAGCCGGCACCCGTGACTTTGCGACATATCAGACTACGGGAACGAAGCTGAAGTGGGGCAAGGAGCTGCCTGGGCCATCTAGGAGGCATCTAGGAGGGTATTGTCAAGCGGGAGGAGCTGTTTATCGTATCTAAGCTCTGGCAGACTTTTCACGATCCTGAGCAGGTTGGGCCCGTTGTGAGGAAACAACTGGCCGACTGGCGCGTTGACTACTTTGACCTCTATATTGTACACTTCCCGGTTGCGCTGAAATATGTGGACCCCGATGTCCGCTATCCCCCAGGCTGGTTTAACGATGGTAAGAGTTCGATCGCTACCAGTAATGCAACCATCCAGCAAACATGCGGTGCCATGGAGGAGCTTGTCGACAAGAAGCTATCCCGTAGCATCGGCATCAGCAACTTCAATATCCAGCTCATCATGGACTTACTACGCTATGCGCGAATCAGGCCAGCTACTCTCCAGATCGAGCACCACCCATACCTTACTCAATCCCTCTTGGTCAAGTTCGCTCAGGACGATGGAATTACTGTTACCGCCTACTCTTCGCTTGCCAACTCGAGCTTCTTTGAGCTGGGTACGCAGATCGCGATGGAAGCCCCGCGACTACTTTCTCAGTCCGCTATTACATCCATTGCTCAGAAGCATGACAGAACAGCTGCCCAGGTCGTCCTCCGTTGGGCCACGCAACGAGGTATTGCTGTCATCCCTAAGAGTAACTCTGGGACACGTCTCCTTGAGAACCTGCGTGTCAATGATTTCAACCTCGATCAGGGTGAGATTGACGCCATTAGCGCTTTTAATAGAGGTCTTAGGTTCAACGATCCCCTGAACGTAAGTAGAAAATATCCTGGCGAAATGAGATTGATGGGCATGGAGTGATCGTGGCTTGTCTCACCCCCCAGCTCTTATTATAGTACGGAATCCCATGCCCAATCTTCGCTTAAAAAGCAATGCTCAGCGAGGGTCCCAACGCGGCGGCTATCCCTCGGGGATTACCAATGCCCTCACAAGGCTACATCAATTTATCTAGAGCAGATACATATCTTCGACATATCTCGTTTGTATTGGCTAAGGTCCTATAGCCCGCTATTTGTTTCATTGACATCTCTCCTCATGTTAGCACCTTTCCTTTTACTTTCATGTCCTCTGCTCTAGATCATGTAGTCGAAACAAACTTTTCGCTTTCCATACAAGGTAGTTTTTGGTTTGATTCCAGTTCTTGAAAAGCGCCCTGGCCGACAGGCTTGGAAAAATCGATGCAAGAAAATCGAGTGCGGTGGAATAGAGGCATGAGGAAGACTCGGAAAGAAGTAAATTATTACTCCATTCTGGGATTGGCTAAAAATAAGAAGCATGTGGATATAGAACAATACAATACGATTCGTTCACTCATCCTCATCCTCACCAGCATCGACATTGAATTTCTTTCTCCCAGACCCGGTAAGATTCTTAAGATTCACCAGGTTCACCTGAGCATCCATCTTCTTCTCTATATTCTGAATCTCCTTCTCGGGATCAATAGCCTCCTCAGAAGCAAAGTCCAGCACCAGCCGCCTACCCAGAAGATGGGTATTCTTCAAAGCATCCATGGCATTCTCCGCCTCGCGCGCACTTACGAAATCAGCAAATGCAAAGCCACGAGCCGTCCCGTCGAATTTCTGCGGCACACGGACAGACCGGAGTTTGCCATATGCACTGAACAGGTTTCTGATATCCTTCTTCGTGGCCTGGAATGGTAAGTTTTTGATGAGGATCTTGGTTCCCCGCATGGCCAACTTCTTCGCATTATCCTGGCGCCTTCGTTCCTCAGCAGCATCCACCGCTTTGTGCGAGGCCTTGATGACAAGTTCGTGTTGATCTAATTTGTAGCCTTGCATCGCCGCGAGGGCAGCGCGTGCTTGCGCACTTGAGCGGAACTCCACGAACCCGAAGCCCATGCTAAGAGTTTCTCCTGGGCGCTTTGGGTCTGTTTTGGTTTTTACCCTAGCAGACAGGAATCCATCCAGCGGTTGGAACACCTCTGTTAGACGAGCATTTGTTGTAGAAAAGTTAAGATTTCGAACGAAAAGAGTAGATGTCTCCAGCGGAGACTCGGCTTCTTCCGTTTCTGTTGCCTTGAAAATGTCCGAAGTTGAGTATGTTTGCGAGATCACCTTTGGAGGAGGTGCTATAACCCGTGTAGCAGTCGCATTTTCATCAAACAGGTCCTTTGGTGCTCTCTCCAAAAACAGGATTGAGTCGCCCAGCTTTCGATACGCAAGCCCCTTGAAAGCCTTTTGGCATTCGTCTGCCATGACGAATTCAACAATGGCTATAGTGCCACTGGGAGGCATCAGGAGCCTCTTAATTTGCCCAAAAGGTTCAAACAGCTGTCTTAAATCGTCAGCTTTAACACCAAACGAGAAGTTCTTAACGAGGATTGCAGTATTGCCTCGTTCCCGCTTCTTGAACGAATCCAGGTTCACCCCATGTGATGAGAAGTACGCCTTCGTTTCTTGGATCACATGCGTTTCTGCATGGGCTTGTTTGACTGCTGCGTCAGAGGATGTGGGATCAAGCAGCTCGGATTTCGAAATCCCCAATCGTTCAGATACAGATGACATGACTGCATCAGCCTAATACACGTGTTAGATCATGGAAACTAATTTTGGGCACAAAATAACAGGCAACTTACATTCATATATAGGGAATTCCAGCTGAAATTTGACGACGCGGCCTCTTGTTTCCTTTTTATTTGTTGTTGCTTTTTCAAAGGCAATTTTGAAAGCTCATACTCATCCAGTTTATAGGTTTTTTTTGATGAGGCCGGTAAGATGTGCAAGAGACGGCCTTGGAAAACTTTCCCATCAAGCGTTTTGAAAGCCTGAATGGCAGCCTCTGGGTCCGCGTACTGTACGTACGCGAAGCCTTTGCTTTTAGAATGTCGTGTATCAAACGCAACATGGACCTATTTCTGCGGTCAGCGGCGGGTTGATTCTGGAGATTAAAAAAAATCAAGACATCGAATAGTTATTCACCATAGGATAGGCTTCTCAGATTATAAGAGGCATCTACTAAAATACTCTTTCCAGGTAACATCACATGCATAGCATAAGCTGTCCCTATCTGGACGATCATCATTGGAGCCAGTGAATGCAGGAACGGTGCACATACAATGAAAAACAAAAGACTTAACGGAAATGACACAAAGCAACAAGCATGCTTACCTCATCGATTTTTCCAAAGGGAGAGAATAGTGACTCCAGGTCACTCTCGCTAGCATTATAGAGAAGATTTCGAACGAAAAGGCGACCGGTTTCACGGAGTTGGCCTATATTCGCGTCAAAGGATTCATTCTTGTCGGATGGGTTAGGTGGTTCTTTTTGAACGGGTGGCGAAGCCTCCTGCGCATTCCCTCTCCTGGTGCTTTCATAGTCACTGTCCTCGCTTTCCTCAATTTCCCGTATTTGAGCGGTGCTAGGACCTCCTTCGTCTTCATCTTCTTCAACCAGGCCAAGAAGTCGACTCGTTCTCGATCGCAGCCAATCCATATCGGACTTCGGCGCTTCTTCCACAGACGTGGCCTCAGGTTCATTTTCAGGCTCGATAGACCTTGCTTTTTCTGCGATAGAATTATCCTCTGAGACATTGTTCGGCCGCTCCCTTTGCTGCTTTTTGAAAGCGGGCTTATGATCCGGCCTTAACCGCTTTGTTTTGATGTTAGGCTCTTCAGTCTTGCTAGACGGTTGAATTTGAGCACTATCCGTTGAAACCCCGTTAGTAATAACCACTATACCATCGTCAGCCCAAGTCTTTGACTTCATTGCCGGCTGCATAGCGGCAAGATATTCCTGGAGCTTAGGATCTTGTTTCTGTTCTACTTGGTCGTGTTTTCGTTTGAGAGTAGTGGAGTTGGCTGATGTGGCATGTCTTGAATTTGGCTTCCCACTTACCGGGGAATCACCGTCGACCTTAAGAGTTCGGTCAGCTTCATGAATCCTTTAGTTGGGTCAGTCTTCGATGATGGCAGCGGACAAATAAAAACGGTGGGAAATTCGATAGTGCGGAGGGTAGAAGAAAGGGAAGGGGAGGAATACGTACCGGTCGTGCCATCTCCACTGCAATTTTTGACATCCTTATATATGTCTTATTGAAGTAATTGGCAGCATCTTGTGCCAGAGTCGGGGTTTTGAAGCCCACAAATCCAATCCTTCGTTTAGGGATAACATGTGCATCAGTAACCTGGTACCGCGTAGAGAAGTGTTTTCGGAGGTCATCATTAGAAAAAGTAGGCGGCAAGCCTGACACGAAGACTCTTGTATTCTCCTCCATATTGACTGGATGGGAATAACGAAGAGTTCTTCAATCTTCCTTCTTGTGTGGAAAAGAAATGCAAAGAACGAACGAATTTGTGTGGTGGAATGTTTTTCTTTTTTTTCTGCCAAAGGCGGTGAGAGTAGTCCGCACTAGCAACTAGCTATTCTGCTGAATGCAGCTCTGTGGCAACTGAAGCCATAGAATAACACAGAAACATCGCCGTGCTCTCTGCCCCTGAATCACTCACATCACTTTACATTCCCTCCACATAACACAGTCGGCATTGTATTGTATCTTTGGAACTAACTTGGAATATCACTCACTACCTCTCCAAATCAATACTCAAAATGGTTGCTGAAAAGCGTGAGAAGCTGGAAGGTATACATACCAAGCCCCCGGTTGTTTGCCTTCTTCCCTGTCGGCCAGCATGCTGCCTGAAGAAAAGAGCCTTACTAACAAGATGTGGGAATTATTAGCCCAGATTAAGTCTGCTGATATGGTGAGCGCTCCAATTGCATTATGACGTACCATCAGGAAAAGATAGTTGCGATAGCGCTTGTTTCCTCTCGAGTGTTTACTAACAGCCGGTCGGGAACTTAGAGCGAAGACATGCAACAGGAAGCCATTGAAGTTGGTACGTGCGGGACCTTTAAGACTGAAATAAGTTTCGGGATTGGGATATTGGTGCTGACTATTTGGTGACCTTTTCGACAGCAACGGAGGCCATGGATAAGTACCACATCGAAAAGGTATGGCGTTAATGTCGAAAACTGGAGTAATATATATGTACAGTACATATGCTGTATCGTATCGATACCCGCGAGACTGACAATGTTGGATTGCAACTTTAATAGGACATTGCGCAGTACATAAAGAAAGAGGTAAGAGAAAGCTACAGATTCGCTTCATAGTCTGCTTCGAAAAGGTATGGCTTGGTTGCTCACGGGAAATACAGTTTGACCTGCGCAAGGGCGCAACGTGGCATTGCATAGTAGGGCGTAATTTTGGCAGCTTCGTGACGCATGGTAAGAGGCCCTCTCCGTCCTATCTTGTCCGGTCTATTTAGAGGACATATTTCGCGTTGAATTGATTAGAAGCCAACCTAACCATCATGTCATGAATCTGTAGAAACCAAGCACTTTATATACTTTTATGTGGGCCACTGCGCCATTTTACTCTTCAAGACCCAATAAGTAACCGGCGATCGTTTCTGGATGAGAATGCCAGCGCCCGGCCTCCCCCTTCCGTTCGAGATCCTCGTCCTATACCAATTTGTTCTACAGTCTCAGAATGACTTGAATTTTTTTTTTTTTTTTTTTTTTTTTTTTTTTTTTTTTTTTTTTTTTTTTTTCTCTCTCAGACTTCACCATTCTAGAACGTTTATAAATGGCGGGTTATATACTACTGCAACAGAATTTCCCAATACGTATACGTGCGCACTCATAAGAAAGAGAAAGGACAGAAGAAGAATGGTGGTATGATGTGGAGCTGGAGCTTGGAATGAACGATTAACGAAACGCTTTCTCCTTTTACTCTCTTCTTTTTATGGTTTGTTCTTATTGCCTTCATGTTGTCTATTTTTTTGTCATTTTTACCCTTGCTCTCAGCTAGTCATTTCTTATTTATTTACCTTTCCTTCAATTTACTTTCAGCATCCACAGACATTGCATATCGTGACATCATTTGCCCCCTTTGCGAATGAATTAACAGAAAAGCAACACGGATGATGATTGAGCAAAATCGTATGAAAGTGTGCCGCTTGGGATAAATAAAATAATTCTATTACTGATGATAACTGCTCGAGTCCTATTCCTATTAAGCCCACCAAATGCAACTCCGTATCTTATTATAAGACATCCGTACCCAAAAACCACGCCCAAGTAGAAAGCAACTAAACTAAGGAAACTAGGAGAAAAGATAAAAATCCCCCATCAATAAGCAAGTTTCAATAAACAGTTGGGTATGTAAACGTATATTGGCGATGCGACCATGAGAGTATCGAGATATCCCATAAACTGGGTGGTAAGGGGAGATTGGAAAGGTCGAAAACCAACACAACAAAAGAATGGAAGGAGCGAAACAGCTCATAAAGTACAGCAAGACAAAAGAGATATAAGTGAGCCAGAAAACATAAACAGGAGAAGCGGAGGAAGAGGGGAGAAGAAAAGAAACGGGTCCGACCAAGGCCAAAAGGACGCTCCTAGTTCCGTAGGTTACTTATACCAGTAACCCGGCTGCGGTTGTCCTGGTGCTCCTGGCCCTCCCGGGGCTCCTGGGCCTTGGGGTCCCCATCCAGGGGGCCCTTGATATGGTCCTAGTGGTTGAGCCGGTGGGCCTCCACCGGCTTGCGATTGGACATCTGGTCGATTGCTGTGTAAAAGCATATTAGTGTTGTCATGCAGAAAGATATTGAGAAGTAGGATGGTCTAAAAGGGAGCAAAAAATTGATGATGACCAAGCCCTTGTCTTAACCTACCTTAGATCCTGTGCGAAGTGGCATACATGGCAGGTTACCTCCTAAACACTCCGAATGAGAGTTGGTTAGTTTTGTTCGATTATAAAAAAAATACTTGTGCCCATCACTGTGGCCAGAGGATGGTTGCTTTTCATGTTGGGTATAATGGGGTGGAAGTAAGAGGGCGAACCTTATATTTGCGAGTTGATAGAGGAATAACGGGCTAAAAACAGAAAGCAGACGGAATCAGTTAATGTGAGGTTCAAATTGAGTTGGTTCTGACAAAAATCCGCCTAGGCGGAGAGAAGAGAAATGGATATCTATGAGGCGGGCGTACAATGAAGCAAACAGTAAACCAAGGCCTGGAAAAGATCAGAAAATTTAGTCAGCATGTCATGTACCTATCAAAAAAATCCATTCCGTCTCTCAAACCATTTATTCAACCGGCGTCTTAAGATATGAAAGAGAGATTCCGAATCAAATTGCCTCCCTTGAGGTCGAGATGGGGAGATATCATGAATTCTCAGCACTTACCATCTTGTGGCGCAATGCGCGGACCAATTTCCGCCTGCACAGAACAAATAACGAAGTTAGAAACGCAACACTTGATTTGTACCTCGTCGTCCCACCGCCATTTCCTCATCTAAAAAGGGAGAAAGGAATGGGGCCATTCCCCGCCATGGATAAGCCAAACTTACAGTTATGGCATTGTGCAGTGACATTTTCATACCCCTTCAGGCGGGACGTAAATTCTGGGAGAATATGTCAGCACGGTGCTGCTCATTTTTTCACAGTTTTCCGTCTTTCTTTCTTTTGGTCCCTTCCGTGTATAAGAGCGAGCAGAGCGGATAGATATATCTATATGTATGTATGAATATATGTGACATACCTTGGGTCCCGAATGTAAGACAGATGGCCATTTTGTCGTTTCCGGAAACAGGGTGGCCGTACTAAAAGAGACGTAAAATAACTTTGACGGGTAATGGTGTTTCTCTATCTCTTGGTCTGGAGCTATGTATATCTCTTAGTCTCGATCTTCTTTTCGTCTTCGTGGAATAAGCTAGGCTACCAGTCAGATCAGCTTGAAGCCGGCGACGGATAGACTGATTATACAAGCAAGAACCTACACAGATATACCGTCTGCTGGTGCAATAATAATAAGACAGAGAGCGTGTCCACAAGAACAGGAATTTGATCCTCTCTACGTGGGTATGGGGGGCTGGCTATTTTTAGGTCAGTGACATCAATGATGGGGTCGACGAAACAAGGTAGAAGCCGGCACTGTGGTGGATTCGAAGAGGAATAGCAGAGAATGCCTTACTATGGCGAAAGTGAGGGATATATATCTGCGGGTATTAAACGGCAGTTTGGTTCATGGATGGACGATGAGTGGACGCAGGTGGGTTGGTTGGTTTAAGTTGTGTAGAGGAGATGACAGGCGGAGTTAACTGGCTGCTCGGCGGACTGAACGATGGAGCTGAACTCTGGAGGCGCGCTCTGCGTGTAATTGTGGCGCAGGGCTTGGCGCTCCGGTTGGTCAGCCATCTTATCGGGTCACTTGGATGCCTTGATCAATTTAATCAGTGGAGTTGACTTCAAAAACTCATATTAGGGCTCATGCCGATATTGGCTACTACAGAAACTACATCTATTAAGCGTGGTTCAATGCAAGAACTAGTATTGTTCCCCTTCTCACGAACATGGATGTTGGGATATAAAGAGAGGGAGTATAAGAGGGCAGAGGAAAATGACCCGAATCAATGGACTCCGATAATTTGATACCCAGTTGGCATCTTCGCCTCATATGCCAGTGTCAACTTAAGCTCCATTCCCTTTTTAACCTCAAGCTGCCACATAATTTCCCCCGCTTTCAACCTTGACACCCGCCCAGAGCCCCAACGCTCCTTAACGGCACTGCTATCGAGAGCCACAGTGGCAGAGTCGCCTTCTTTATCCAAACCCTTGGGTTCTAAAACATTAACTTGCAGACTCCCATTTTTACTGACGGGTACCTGATCGAGCAAAACTAATGAAACCGCGGTCGACTTGGTATTGGTTATCCGGCATGAACGTGTGAATATTGCGGTCTCTAAGCTCCCCGCAAAAAATCCCCCGGAAACACGCCTCACGCTAGGTTTGTCATAGGAGACCTGAATCCCTGGATCGACGCCAAGGCTAAGGCTAAGGGTAGTGTTTGGGCGGCCGCCGGCAAGAACTACCGTCCCCATAAACGTGCCATCAAGGGTGACGCCAACCTGTCCCCGGAGAAGCGCCAATGATGATGTATTGAAGACCTTGGCGCGGAGAAATGCAGCGGGGCGGAGCTTGGGGATTATTACGTGGGAATATTCCACTTTAGGGAAATCAAGCTCGGCGATTACGTGACGGTGTTTTAGGGGTGAGGGGCGGAGGGTCCGTCGTCCCGGTATGTCGTAACTGGTTGTCAAGCCGTAGCCATGCTGGGAAGATTCCTGGAAGGTGAGTGCATTCGACGAATCAGAGAAGATGGTTGCAGGATCTATAGAATCGCCATCGATGGTGATATTATCTTCTTCGGTGGCCTGCCCACCTTGAGTGCTTCCCGACATAGCAGGAGCAGGTACCGGTGGAGGGGATACAGGCGCGGTAACGGAAGTGGGACGAGGCGGAAGGATCCTCTGCGATACGGCTATATTGGTCAGTTGCTCTTGCTGCTGCTGCTGTTGCTGTTGTTGCAGGCGTTGCATCTGTATTTGGCGTTGATGCTGTCGCTGCTGTTGCAACGCCTGTTGTCGCTCCTGTCGGTGATGCTCCAGTTGGTTTGACATTTTATGCATCAAAAGGTTTGGTGATATTGTCAATGAGGTATTGGTATTTTTCTTAAGAAATGCAGCATGCTCCAGAGCCACTCTGGTACTGATTTCGGCAGGATTCTCCAATCCCTTGCTCCAGCTATCAAGGCTGCTTGATTCCTCAGATTCCTCCTTGAGTAAATTTAAATGCCACGCCTTGAGCAACGGAAGCTTCTCCCCAAGTCCACCGAAGCAAGTTTCCGACGTGGACAACGTGAGTTTAGCATCACGCCAAACCTCAGAGCTCGAATTATGATATTCCGCCAGATACACCCCTTTCCCACTCGATGTCAACGTCGTCAGATTGAACTCGTAACAGGGAAGCCATGCGGCCTTCTTTGTCACATAGGTCAGAGAAAGGTCTATTTTCCCGATCCTCTCAAGTGCGTCAGTAGACGTAATGGTGGAGTTCTGACGGCTGGAGCTTGGAGTGAGGTTGGAAAAGCCGTCCAGAAACAATGTAACCACGCCCACCTGCTGCGGGTAAAATTTCAAATGATCGTCTCGGCGTCTACGCTTCTCTGCAACCACGATATTGTGATCATGCAGTTTCCTCTTCCTGTTTTCGCGCTCGGGCTTTGCTGCTGCGTCTCGAGCACGTTTGAAAGCCGCTGCGAGTTTATTCACTTTGCTGGACACTTTCTCTCTTTTCTCAAAAATTTCGGCTACTTTGTTGTCGCAATTGTACATCACATCCCCCAATGTCGACACCTGGCGCTGGTAAGTGTGGAGGTACTCTTCTAATTTCGCGGCAGGCACATCCCCTGCCTTGATAGTTTTGCCATAGCCATCTAGGACCGCGAGCGACTTCTCAGCTGTTTGCCGTTCTCTCTCCGCTGCAGCAAGATCGGAGTCCCAAACCTTCAGCTCCCTCTCTGCATTTGACAGTTCAGATCTATCAACCCCGAAATCATCATCCGGGTCCTCATCGTCAATATCATTGTCCTCAGACTCGACTTCGCATCCAGGAAACAGTTCCTCGAAATGATTCCTTTGGGTCACCGTGGCAGTCTGTATGTCGGTGATGGTGCCTGGCCCCTGGCCAGACACACGAATCGAGTCAGGGTCAACTTGAGGGTCTACCCCATAGATGATAATTTCATTGGGGCCCGGCTACAAAGAAAATAGAAGAGAAAGCGAAATAAATTAGTCATTAATATCGTACTTGAATAATACGTTTTTAAATCGGACAGAGCATATATTCGTACCTTAATGGGAATACCCAAGATTTCACGGACAATTGTAGCTCTCTCAGGACCCAAGGTAACTGACGTTGTGAGAGTATCCACCAGGGAAACTTCAACAGTATGGGCAGTGTCAGCCGTCATTTTAACGGAGGGAATACACAGTATAATATGCTGTTCTATACACGAGTAGAGAGTAGTGGAACTATCGGAGTAGGGGAGGTCCAAGATGATTTAAGTAACTGGCAAGTAGTGATAGACAGTTACTTGTGCTATATGTATGATACATTTGCCAAGCGGTTTAATGACTATATATATATTCATATAATGAAGGTAAAAGAATTAAAGAAGGGTTTCTGAGCGGTGTTGGCGTCCTTACATAGTTTGGAGGAACAGAGTAGGCAGCAAGCACCCCTAAACCCGCGAGGCTAACTCGAAACCATCAAACATCTATATTTAGATTTTCGCCGACTGTAATTGATTAAACCGCCGATTTCTCCAAAGCTGAAGTTGACATGTTAATATACCATTTGAACGTTTTATTTAGTATGTAAAACCATTGCCAATTCATTTTTTTCTCAGTTGCCCGCTCCCACCAGGCAGAGCTGTAGTCAATACATCTCATTCTACTACTGTGGCCAACTGCAGCAAGACACGCACCGGGAATATAGCTCAATATTATCAACGGGGAACAGGAATCAATCGAATAAATAAGCAGTAGTTACGCCATTCTATGTATACATTCTCATCTACATAGCGCAAGCTTTCCATTACAAAAGACCCGCGTAAATAAGAAACCAGTCGTGAATTCGAGTGAAAGAGAAGTAGAAGGTTTACAATGGGCCGGAAAAGCGAACAGAACGGGCAAAAAATATCAAGAATATATTATTTACGACATGAATGGTAAGAAACAGAAGAAAAAGACAATACAGATTTTGCAAACTTGAAAAGGAAATATTGGTCTTGCGTGTGGAGCGGGTGGGAGTGAGTGTGCGCGTATAGTCTGCCCTCTGTACTGCAGACAGGAGGGTGACGGTCGGTCGAGGTATGTAGAGTGAGATTTAGGTGGTAGAAGAAAAGAGACGGATGAGGATGGGGGCATGCCAAACCAGGCGTCAAAAGTGCACGCGGAGCAAACGTTGGAAACGTTCACGGTTCCCTCTTTCGCACATTGTGACATAGGCATCAGTGGTAGGTATACGAGGAGAATTAGGTATAGAGCGAGTATTTGGAGCGTGTATGAAGTCAAGTCAAAAGCCAAGGAAATAGTGTAGGAGGACAAAGTCGGCCCGTTCAAAATGCAATGAACTTGCAAGCAACCCATAGAAATCCCAAGCGAGATATTTTCGCCCGACTCCGCCAACGGTCATATCGTACAGGCTATTGGATTATGTTCTTGTTCGCGAACTTAAAAGGATAGCGTTTGTCGAGGATATAGGGTATCGAACGAAGCAGACTAAATAAACGTTTATGAAGAGAATTTCCGTGTGATTTTGGCAATGACTGTGGAAACCCATGTCAGTGAAAAAGGCAACAGGCAAGAAACACTGCCATCCCCCAGCTCCAAAAGTACATGTTGGGATCCAGCAAGATCACAAAATTCCCACTTCGACGACGAAGAATAGGAAGCTACCAAACCAGTTCAAACATGCACTCCGGGCGAGAGCCTAGAGAAAACAACATACCATGCAATCCAACAACAGAGAAAATGAAGCCCAAACTCAACACCAACACCACGACGGGATCAACCTTGAAGCCAGGGCTCTCATCTGTATAGAGCTTCAGCATGGTACCCGAAGAGCCGCCCGCACCAGCGGAGCGTGTGGACGCTGGACGCGCATTCCGGATAGATTCCTTGTGGTCTGCAGCAGCGCGACGGCGCATAGCCGTGCGTGGTCCGCCGGGGGGTGTAGGCGACGAGGGGCGGTTGAGAGACGAGCCCGCGATGCCAGAGGCGACGCCAGTTGACGCCTTAGCTCCTTCAGCTCCTGAGTCCGGACCGGATCCTGAGGCCTACATTTTCGGGATATATGGGTTAGCAATAGGGTTTTCTTCTCGTTTCAAAATCCATTCTAGCTTCTAGAGAAATGAGAAGCTGGCTTGGGTGTTTCGAGAGGAAGCGGTTGAGGTCCAAGAATGCGGAGATGTAGCCAACTTACCATTGTGTTGTTGGGGGGGGCCCTTAATAACAGAACCAGTTGAATAAGTTACGAGGAAGTATGACTCAGGTCGACAAAAAAGAAAGGAAATAGATAGGAGAGGAGTTGGCTTGTGGACGGGGTGGACGTTGTTGGAGGTACGAGCAAGGGGGAGCGAGGACAGCGAGGTGAAAGTTGAGGTTGCGCTGTTCCTGAAGAGGCCACGACGATGAAATCATGGAGTCTGTGTCTGTATTGTCACTCTTGGCGTAATATAATCCACACTAGGGCAAATATGTTTCCAATAACTCCGTACCGGTATTTAGATTTATTTACTGATTAAACTTACCAGACCCTCACCAAACTATCCTGCATATATTGCACAAACAAACATCGCAGGAATCTATCTAAATGCAAGGAATACAGGAGATAATAGAAATATTGAAACTAATGTTATTTTACAGTCATGACCTTCAACAAAGATTATCCAGAGATAAGCTTTTGCTACTACTCATATCTTTGAGTATGCTATTATCACAATCCTCACAGCATGATAAAAGCAAGAAAACACAAATGTCATCTGTCATCTGATGTCATCTATGACAGAGATATCAGATTTTGTTTCCCACAGAAGAGCTGCTGTAAATAAATTCAGACAGCATGAAACTATGAGAATGAATAAGAACTAAAATATTTGTGAGTCACATCTGAGTCTCAAATCATTTCAAGATATCATCACTTAAGAGAGTCTCATTAATCAGAAGCTGTTAAAATTCACAGGTATGTTCCTCTCCATTCCTCCGGCTTTCCTTAGCCTATTTGAAAGTGGTCTCGGAGCCAAAATCAGCGCTGATCGTTTGAAGAGGAGGGGGAGGAGAATTTTGGCATCAGCAAGGGCGTGGAGATTGCCTTACATTTCGTTCCTACTATACGGAGCAGGTCTTGATGCAAAGCTGACCTGACAACGCGCATATGTCCAGTAGGGATTGCCCAGTGGCAGCCGTTGAGGTTGCGAATATGGGATCCGAAATGCTTAGTCTTCCAAAGCAATGATAAGTTGGCTATTCACGGCTATCATCAACAGCTTTGCTGAACGACTTTAACGCCGATAGACAGCATTGCATCTTGCCAGAGGAATGGAAGGTCAGCATCTTGCTCTCAGAATTGGCCCAGTAACACTTTTGGCCACTTCTAACAAGTAATTGGGTAGGGGTTGATGTGAAAATAACTATGGACTAACATCCAATGTATTAATATAGAGAAGAAAGACTAGATCTATTCATAAATAGAATTTGCTTTTGTTATTTCCCTAATCAGCAGCCTTGCCTTTATTTACACTGTATACATATATACATACAATACAATCAATGAGATATTATTAGCTGGAGGGGGTCAGATAGTTGCTTTGTGCTTATGATCTGGGTACAAAACTTGGTGTTGAGCTTGCAGCTTGCAGGTTGAGGCGAGCAGTAAATAAATAGCTTACAAATCATCCAACTTGTTAATACCAACTAGGGCTCAGTTATTTACTAAATAACACTCACTCACAGTTCTTCTTCCATGCTGCACCGGCTGCAACAACTAGTTTTTGTGGAGGACAGAACTTTATTATGTCGTATGTACGTACAGTACATTGGGACACCATGCTCAACCTTAACTACCTGTAAGCCCTGTACGCCCCTGAGACTTTTGGACTCAAGACGAGCCTGACTTGTTTTGTGGAAGGAAACCTAGGGCTCGCTCGCTCCCCTTGGAATTTTCGACAGTCCGTCATGGACACCTCTGTCACATATTCGACACACAGAGAAAATGTATGGATAGCATGAACGGATCACCCAGTCCTATCAAAGGTTGTGTTGTGCGGCAGGATTTGGCCTGCAGCAGCTCGGACACTTGGTGAGAACTAAGTAACTCATATCTGGGGCATGGTCAAGCATGGTCCAGTCCTTAATCCTGGCCTAGTCCGCCAGCGGTGAGAAGAGAGAGCAACCACGCGCATCAAATATCCAATTCCCGTCTGGGACGGGGGCGGTGATTGTGGACGCTGCGGGGTGGGGATGGAAACAACCCAATCACGGCCCCAATGTTGCACACATCTCAGAGTATCTCCGTCAGCTTCGGTCCCCTTGATTGTCGACAAATGGACCGGCGTCACCTTGCACGGCATATCTAGGCCTGCTCGGTATAAGTTCATGAAGTTGCGCTTTCGTGCAACTTCCAATATGTCGGCCCTATGGGGCTGATTAATTTCACCTGCAATTGACTAGTTTACTATTATTTATATAATCTCGTGTATTATCTTTCCAGCTAGCTGCCGATCTGGAAACAACTATCTTATTTTCTCTTCTGCTGGGAAGAGACTTGTTGTTCTGAGTGTGCATTGTCTGTCTCCCACTTTCATCAACAAGGAGACACGCTGAGAAGAAGGAAACGAATTGGGCACAATGTTGCAACTCGCTTGCACCGCAGGCATCGCACTGGGGATCCTCTCCCACCTTCTACTCTTTAAGCATGGCGAATGGGACCGATATGCTCCCACTTTGGTGTTGTTCTACGCGTTTGCTATGAGTGTACTGAGCCCAGTAGTGGTCTTCATACTGATGGAGCTCTCCATGCTTAGCACATTGTTGCTGGTGTCCACATTCTGGATAAGTTATATGACTGGGCTTTTCGGGAGCATCGGTCTCTATCGCGGCTGGCTCCATCGTCTCACCCAGTTCCCAGGTCCGGTGGCTTGGAAATTATCCTCTTTCGGGTCAATCAAGGCCTCTGTGGGAGAATTCAAGTTTCCCGTAAAGGTACAACAACTTCACGAGACGTATGGAGATTTTGTTCGCATTCGTACGTTTAAATTTGATTTCTTTTCTTTTTTCCTTTTTTTTTTTTTTTTTTTTTTTTTTTTTTTTTTTTTGATCTGGCTCTCTACTCGGCAGTTTATGAAGTCAAATTGTTGTATTTCTAACTACGTATCACGCCAGGGCCCCGAGAAATCTCAATCAACCATGTAGATGCTGTTCGCGATATTCATGGACCAGGGACTACCTGTGTCAAAGGCCCATTCTACGACATCACTTACCCATTCAGATCTCTCCAGATGCTCCGTGACAAGGGCGCCCATTCCAGAAGGCGGAGAATCTGGGATCGCGGACTTGGTATAAAAGGTTAGCCAACGATCATCAACCATTATATTCAATTCGAACAACAGCTACTTATTTATAGCTCAAAATGAATTAACATCACACCTCCAGCCCTGACCACATACGAGCCTAAAATACTCGGCCACTGCGCAGATCTCATAAGCCAACTGAGCGCGAAATCAAAGGGAGGCAAGCCTATCCATATCGGCCCGTGGATGAACTATTTCGGCTTCGACGTCATCGGCGATGTTGCGTTTAGTAAACCATTCAACATGGTAAAAGATGGGAAGGCGGCAGAAATCCTTGAAGATTTCCTGACGTCAAAGCCGGCATTGGGAACGCTTATCTGTGCCCCGTGGACATTCAATCTTGTGCAAAATCTCCCTGGATTGCGCAGGTTATGGGAAGCACGGACAAAAAACCATGCGCGCAAGATTGCGGAAAGAATGAAGGTAATGGTCTTATTAAGAGCCTCCCCTACCCGCTCTGTCCGTCTTTTAATAATATCGTTCCACCTAACGTACTGCGTCATCGTCACGAAATATCCAGCTAGGAACAACCTGCAAAGATCTCTTCTCCTATCTCCTCGAAGACGGCCCAGCCTCGCCCGCCGCTTCCGCCCCATTAGTTTTCTCCGAATTCTCCGTCCCCGGCGACCTCGCCTGCGACTCTGAACTAGCCATCACCGCAGGCAGCGACACAGTCGCTGCAACTCTCACCTCCCTCATCTACATCCTCGCCACGCACCCAGATAAGCAAACCCTCCTGCAGCAAGAGCTCGACACGCTCCTCACAGGCATTGCCGACATCTCGTATCAAAAGCTGTCTGTTCCCAATAACGCCCCGATGCTCGAAGGGGTCATTCTTGAAACCCTGCGCTTATATCCAGGGACTCCGGGGGGGATGCAACGCATGACGCCGCCGGAGGGTGCACGGATTGCTGGCAGATGGATTCCCGGCAACACGCTCGTGTCTACGCCTACTTATACCTTGCATCGTGGTAAGTTACTTGACTCTCCCCCACACACCCTTTTAAACAACCCCCACCACCATTTTGCCACACACGTACTCTCACGCACACACACACACACACACACACACACTCACTCACACCCCAGACCCGCGCAACTTCGATCAACCAACCACCTTCATCCCCGAGCGCTGGTCCTCGACACCAAACCTAATAAAACACAAAGAAGCCTTCAACCCCTTCCTCATAGGCACCAACTCCTGCGCCGGCAAGGCCATTGCGCTCATGGAACTACGCTTCGTGACCGCGCTGATCTTTCGCAAGTTCACAGTACGCTTGCACACGGCTAATGCTGCAAAGTCATCGCCACTCTCGTTCTTCGATGAGCAGAAACCGGGCTGGAGGGATTATTTCACGGCGAGCCCGCCGCCTTTTGAGGTTGTTTTGGAGAGGAGGGGGTAGAGACGTAGTTTGGATGATCGGCTAACTATGTGATGGGGGATGGGGGGGTATATTTCGTCTGTTGGTTGGGAAATGGAGGGAGCGGGGAGGAGAGGGGGAGAATCGCATGTTGCGGCGATGGATATCACTTGTTTTCTTGATTTTTATTATTATTTTTTTTTACGACGATTGATGATTTTTGACTTTGATGGTAGGTAAACTGGTCGAATAGCGTTCATTATTTGTTTGCTTTCTGTTGTTGAAAGCGGGTAAGGGAGGGCAGTCATGTTTTCTTTTTCTTTTTTCTTTCTTTTCTTTATTTCCACATGTTGCTACTCTATCAAATGATTAGGGGAGTATAGTTGAGTGTCAGGTGTCAGATTGAATATGGTCTCAGCATTTTTTTTTCTTTTCTTTTTTATGAATATTAATAATACTTATCTTTTTATCATGCTGTCTATCAACATCTACACAAACGCGATAAAGTCAGCCAGTCGCTTGCAAGCCCAAGCTCCCTTTATTGTATCTCCACTAGGGCAAATAGACAACGTAGCTATTAGGTACCTAGGTATCCATGCAGATGATGCGGTGTGAACTCCGTATACATCCAGCACAAAGGGTAGGAAATAAGGACAAAGAGCATTCCCATGACAAAAGTAAGAAGAAAAAAAAAAAAAAAAAAAAAAAAAAAGGAACACGGAACCAAAATATTTATACACATAACGATCCACCCTCTGAGAGGAATCCACCATACCAAGGTACTGTAGGTAGGTGGCTAAGCTAGATTCGAACCAAATTCACTTTTGTCTCGCTTCGGGTATCTGCTGCAACAAATCAAACGGGGGGGAGAGAGACATGAGCAAAAATGGGTGCTTGCTTGAGGGGCATTATTATAGATAAATAAATGTTGGTGGATACAAAGGGGGCGGGGGGAGGGGGGGGTATAATATTTTGCTGTTTTGCTGTTATGATTTCGTCTTGTTCGTAGATGATTGTAAGGGGTTTTCAAAATACTCAACAACTCGCCTCGCTCTGCTCACCCGCTCCAATCCAATCCAATCCAATCCAATCCAATCAATTAATCAACCAACCAATCAACCAGTCAACCAATTCAGTAGATATAGAGAGAACGAAAAACGAAAATATCAATAAGATGGGAGTAAAAAGTGGAAGGGAAATGAGCAAAAGAAACCGAAAAAAACGCCTGTTTACATAGAAGAAAAAAAACTTAAACAGGCACACACATGACAAAAAGGGAACCAAGGAAACAAAAGGCCGAAAAAAACAGTAAAGCGTTAGAAAACTAAGTAAAAAAGTCTAGCACCCCCAGCGTCTAGCTTAATCAATCGTCATCCTCGTCGGCAGCGGTCCGCCCGCATGCAGATTCGACGACAACTCCGTTGTATTCGGCTTCTCATCATCACTAATGACCCTCCGGGTCGACAAGTGCGGTTTCAAGCCCTTGTTAAAGTTGCGCGTGCAGATACACGCGTTGACGATGGTCATGATGATCAGCACGATGGTGATGACAGTGAAGAATGTGAGGGAGGTGCGAGCGGCCTTGTAGGCGTCCATGCGCGGCGGGGTGTACATGCGCACGAGCTTGAAGAGGAAATAGGCTAGGCCGCCGTGGTAGAGGAGCTGGAAGAGAGAAAGATTCATGATTAGTTGATTGATTGATGATTGACGTGCGGATAGGGGGAGTAGGGGTTGGTATGTTAAAAGGTTTAGGTGGGGTGGGCAGTTTGGGTGGGAGCTTACAATGGTGATGATCATTCCCCATGTGTTTTCGCGACGGGTGGACCAAGCAGCGCCTAGGAGGATGAGGATGGTGACGGGGATGGCTATGATAGTGAGGATATACTCGGTTGCTTTCTTGTCGGTGACGATGACGATGAACTGGACGGTAAAGCCGAGGAAGAAGAAAAAGTCGAATTTCAAAAGGGCGATATAGATCTATATATTGCGATAGATTAGCAATTTAGCCAAATGCCAGGTTGAAGGAAATAGGATAATGGGACATGCAAAATAGCAAGTCTTACCTGGTATGTTAGATATCGACGCTTCATTCGCAAATCAGCGCTGATATGTTTATAAATGGTCCAGGCAAATTCATCGTATAGTTTCCAGGCAATGAAACTCATGCACAAAGACCCAACACCAATGATGACAGGAATGGCAACAAGGAACGGCTTTAAGTCGGACCAGATTTCCCTGTCAATGTTTTGGCCGGCATTCAGCTCAAAGATAGCCTCTCGGATCTGGTCCGTTTGCACAGCACCGTATATAAGCAAGCCAACGTTGCAAATACATAGTCCAATGACTTGGATGGTGTTTTTCATTCGAAGCGCATCGTACGTCAAAACTAGCTCGTATACAAAACCGAAGATGTAGAGGGTTAAGAAAGTCGGGATCGTTCTGGAAGTAGCTGTGGTGCTCCAATTGCCTCTGAGTTGGGACTGGAAGCGAGCAAAAACATATCTATAACGTTTTCCAAGATTATTAAATAAAAACCCAAGGTACATACAGGAAAGTAACTTACGACTCAAAACCCAGAATGATAGCAGCCTGCACGCAAGCAACAATGACGAACGACCACGTCCAGAGCGAGGTTGGGCGATACATCTTTGGCTCTGGTTCGGTGAAATTGATATAACCTTCTCTGGCACGGAAGCCGGTTGTTGAATGGCGAGCCGACGAGTCGAAGGCCCGTCCCCCAAGGAAAGAGGCGCGCGACGGATTGGAGGGAATTTTGGCGGTTCGCTCCCGCACGGAGCTCGACGCCTCTTAACAGAAAGACAATGGATGAATTGGGGAGTCGGGGAGTCGGGGAGTCGGGTGGTTAACGAGTGTATTCGAAATTGGTGGTGGTGGTGGTGATGTTGAGGAATTGGGGATTGGCTGACGATGGGGGGCCCTTATCCGCAGCCGGACAGACGCGCAGAGAACCGGTGGAATTGCGGCAATAGTAGGACTGAGATGTTGATCGGAAAAGGGACTAATAGTTATGATATGAATTTGAGAGATTCAAGACGGTCCAATGCTGGTTGAGGACAGATGAAGACCCCTTCATGCGTGCCCACCACCTTGGCCTATCCAGCAACAACCACAACAACGAGCAGCAGAAGAATGGGCGAATGAGCTGGAAAGGGAAAAGATAAAGAGGGAGGGGGAGAGAAGGGCTAAGGGAGGAGGGAGGAGAGGGAGGAGAAAAGAGAGAGGAGAGAGGAGACACAAATGCCAAACACACCCAGACACAGGCTAGAGTGTCAAGTCAACGAGGGGGGTTTGTGATGGTTGTGATGGTTGTGATGGAGCCCAGCAAAGGGGAACGACAGATGGAATGCCCAGACTGCCAGAGCAAAGTCTGAAACGCGGTGTCTAGGAGTTGTCAAGGCCAGCGAGAGGGGAGGATATGCTGTAACCAAGAGAACGGGAGAGAGGGTTGGACAGAGAGAGGGTCGTAATAACAGGTAAGTTAGCAGATAACCCAATAATAATAATAATAGTGAAGAAGAAAAATAAAACCAAAAAAAATAAAAATAAAATAAAAATAAAATAAAACAAGCGCAGACTCCGCCCTGGAGGAGGATTGGAGATGGAGAACATGACAAGACAAGGGCTTATTAGGCTTATTAGGTATCGTATCTGAGGCTGGCGCAGGCTGGCGCAGCAGGCTAAGCATTATTGAACTGAACTGCTTAACTGCTATAACTAACTAACTACTAACCTAACTGCGGCGTAGATCCATAAATAATACTGCGTTAGTTACAACTACAGAAATAAGCACACCCAACTGAGACTCAGCTCAGCTAACTAACTATCAACTCAACCACATGGTCCTTCTTCAGCTCGCAATGTCCAACAGACAGTGTGTGTATACGCTGTACGGAGTAGAATCAATTCAGCTGAATCAGAATCAATTGCAATGTCGCGGCGCTGGGGTGGTAAGACCGGTGTAGAGTCAGTAAATTGAGGTTGGTTATAAGAGAGCTAGCTATTCAGATGAAGCTTGATTCAGCTACTTGCTACAAGAGGATAAGATGATTCATATAAAGATTGATATATATATATATATATTTCAAGTACTCAGATATATTAGAAATAAATCACTTGATTTCTAGAATGATAAATCAGCCAATTAAAGTTAAATTAATAAAACTTCTCTGGGAATTCTCCCACTCAAGTGATAAAGTTATATTTAGTAGAGAGAGTTTATAACAACATTGCAGTGATACCGCGACATCAGTTATTTTACAGATATCTATTTTTAATAATAAGAAAACTAGAGTCTGAATTCTGTAATCTATTATTATTATGTTTTTGGAAGAATTAACAGCTAGTAAATTAATAAGTAGTTAATATCAGTTTGCGAACACTGTATATAAGTAAGAGAGAGTGTTAATAGTTATTGCCTAGGTGCCTAGGTACTGACCATGGCAGTCACATGTCTATTATTAGAGAACCTTGCTAGCTAAACTACTACTCCTGTACTCTGCTCTGTAACTACGTAGATACAAAATAATAAACTAATAAGCTATGACTATTTCATAACATAAATATTTAATGAATTTAATCAACTTGATCAATTTTATGCCAAAAAGGCCATTTTTCATGAAATAGAGAAGAAGGGCTTGCTTGTTCTCAAAAGGCCCACCGCACCGACCCTGTAACTAGATAACAAAGCCAGTATGATTCCAAGGTGTGACCCCCATGCACCCCGCTCTCTGAGATACATATTTGCCATGCGTACTCCGTATGGATCAAAAATTAGAAAATTACCCTGTTATCATGATGATCATGACCATGCTTTATTCTCCGCACCCACCACACCACCTTGGCACCAAAAACGGCTGTCATTTAGGTAAATAGTACTTTCGAATAACCATAATTAGTTAACTACTTTCTCGACAGGGCACGCCGATAGTTAACGTGCGGAATGTTCCTCAAACAGATACCATGGCCGTTCTTCCGTCTGTGAATAACGTGCCACATCCAGCTGGATAATACCAGAGGATTGAGTAGTATACGCCAACAGCACCGGCACACAGACATTCAATGCAGCTCGCTCCGTTGAAGGCCAATGTCCGATTTGTAGTTATAAGCTATATTGATCTCGAGGCGATCAAATGTGACAAGTGTGCGGGCCAGCTTCTAGAACCAGAACCCCTTCAAACCGAAATAATCCTGTGAGCAAAATTCGATGGCTCCGTCAAAGCATGTTTTCTTGGAAGTAGACAAACAAACTGCAACCGCTGAAACTTGAGGTTTTCTTTCAGGAAACGCTTCTTCAAACGGTGTTTGGCCAAGCCGCATCACGTTGGCGTGGTTAAACGAAATGGGGAACGGACGTTGGAGGTCCCGCTCCCAGGCTACGAGGAGAGAGGTCATATATTCGCGGTTTGATGCCTGCATGCTAGGTATACTCATCAGTGGTAGAAACGTGGCGGCAGAGTCATGATGGTGTCCAGCTCTAT